TATAGTATTATTCCAGATAAAAGTTAAGATGTTAGCATAATTGCAAATAAAAAATATAGGTAATATATATACAAATAAAACTGATTTCGATAGTGTGTAGGGTAAATTTCTCAAAAAAAAAAATGCTACAATCTCGCTACAGAACCATTCCGTCCGTCAGGATTTGTAACCTTTAGATCATCATTTAACTATCATGCATAGTTGATCTTACGATTACAAACACCGACATAATGGTTCCGTAACGAGCCCGTAGAATATCCCTACAAAAAAATACACACTTTTATTGTAAATTATGATTATTGTCTATTTCAATTATATATTTTAGTAGTACTGCACATATACGTAAATGATACAATTTTATTGAAAACTACTGAGTATTGTCTCTTTTAAATATATTTATATTATTTGTAGTTTATAACATGTTTATATTATCAAATCTCATTACAAGAGTTAAAAAAGTATGTTCAAATATCAAACGTAAACTAATCATAATCGTCAAGTAAAAAATGAAATTCAAAATTCACATAAAATATACACCTTAAACTTCTCAAATGAACCTCCAAACTTACCCCCAAATTCACGATTGTCTGAAACCCTATAAATCTCCCAAGCTAGATCCTACCCCTCCAACGTTGTCTACCTCGTCGAAGACGACCCAATTGTCGTTGGAATCAACTTCTGCATGTCCACAACATCATCAATCGGAACCCTATTACCAAACCCCGAGCCCGTCCCTAACCCAGACCCACAACCAATTGCAAATGCCCTACAACCAATTGCAAAATGCTTAGTGCAACTCTGTGTGGCCAGGCTTCAACCAGAAAGCCACACACGGCTAGGTGTAGCCAAGTTCTATATGTCAGGGTGGGAAGGTTCGTTGGAAGCTTTAAGATGGTAAATCAGGTGTGATTCAATGTGTTGGTCGAATTTTGGTCTAAGCGCCGATCGACGACTGGACATGGTGGTTCGCTACTGGTGGCCACTGAAATTCGCTGCAGGAGGGCGGCCGACAATGCACATGAACGTTGCTCACGCTTTGCTCATAATGGACCACTGTTGATATTGCTAATCGCAGGTGGTGCGCACAAGATATTGCTCGGTCATAATCTTTCTCCAAGAAGATGAATCACGTGAAAATGTTGGAGGATAAAGTTGCACGAGTGTTTTGTGTTTGGTGTTCGACGGGCCGACCAAGGCATCCAACTTGAGGGTAACGTGGGCGGTGGCGAGGCGTGTCAAGGAGGATATTTTGGATCGCGATGAGATGGATGGGGTAGAGGCGGTCTGTAATTTGAGATGGAGGTTTTCGATCTAAATTTTAGGGAAATGGATGTATGGTGGGTAATGTATAATAGCTAGTTTGTCTAAATATTTTTGTTAGTTTAAGTAGAAAAGCAATAAGTTTTTTCATTACTTTTACAATTATTTAGCAATCAACTAAGTATATATGTAAATTGGTCCTTTTATTTTTATTTTATTTTTTCCTTTTAATCAAACTTTGGGATGAGGCACGTAAGATCATATCTAATGCTCAAATGTTATTGTGGTAAATTACACATCACCACATTTAGCAATGTCACAACTTTTCATCCTTCAATGTACAATATGATCACATATGTTGTGGTGATGTGAACATAATTAATGTATAGAATGTAGCTAGAGAATTATTTTTCCAATTCCAAACTATTTAATTAATTAGTTAATTAATTTCTTACTACATATTATATTATAATCAAGTATATAATATTATAGTTGGTCTATATTGTGCAATAGAGATAATTTGTTAATATCATAGTTGTAAACTTAACATTTTTTCTACACGGTTCACAACTCATAAAATTTAACGACATTTGTCAAAATTTATTTTATAACAATGTTTTGTATTCAATCACAAAAAAATTATATGCCACCTAAAAAATAGAATTCGTCTAAAAATTTATATTCTTCGATGCAAATAAAAATATACTGGGTCATGCTTATGTGGTAGCCATAAAAAGAGACCTGGTCTATTCTTAAGTCTATTTTAGACCAAAGTAGATATCTAATCTCTTTGCAATGGAGTGGATTTTGTTGATTTTACATAGTTTTATCCATGTCATTCAAGAGTTGCGTTTATTTATATGGCACATAGACAAGACTAACTCAATGCATTGTAGATGATTGAGCATTGGATATGCTACAAACTAACATTAATTATCTAGCAAAATTATAACTTTGGGTGAAATTTTATTAGTTTGAGTCTATTGTTGTTTTATGCATCGTGGTGATGGTTTTATTTTGTTTTTATTTTTTCGAAACGATAGGGATGGTTTTATTTTGTTGGGCAAACAATATTGTGAACAAAGAAAAGCCTTCTTACACTTATTTTATTCTTTTGAAAAAAACAAAGTAAAACAAGCAAGTTTTAACCCATTTCACCAATTTTTAACCCATTTGTTGTAATCCCAAATTTTGAAGGAAAAAAAAAAAAAAA